AGTTTTAAACACATGCTAATAAAGTCCCTAATAATGTTTCCTCCTGTCCATTGTTCCATAGTACTATCTCTTGCACTAATGACAGGTTTGTTTTGCTGATACTCAAAGCAGCAGACTTTTTCCCACACCCACTTTGCATATGTACACTCCCAAAACACGTCCCACTGCTGCTTCTTCCCTGTACCTGTCCCTTAGACACCTTGATAAGTTGTCAAACCCCATCTCGACTGCACGTCTCTCACTGGCAAGATATTTCTTACAACTATCCATGCTAGGTTGGCATGTTCACCTTTCAGTTGTTTACCTACCGCCACTCCCCATACCTTCTTTACTTGTCCTTCTGTGAAGTTTCCACTGGCACCATTGCCATCTCTCCCTTACCGTTTTCAAATATTTCAGGACCTGCAGCCCTACCTTCCCTATTTTATACCTCTGTATAAATCCTTCCATCCTTATGTAATGAAGCAGTGGTTGCCATGCCCATGGACTCTTCAAAGAGATCTTATATACTCCGCATTGCCTCAAAATTGCAGCGGAGTGAAATTGGTTGATATGTCCATTGAAAATCTCTCTCCAACCACTACTTTTATATCATCCATGTACAGTACGCATTTTATCTCACCCTCTCCTAGTATCTGTACTGCACTTATGACCTTATGTTTTCTTGTTCTTTGTGCTAATGGTTCTATGCCGCACACAAATAGCAGTGGTGACAGGGCACAATGTGCGTCTTACCCCGTATGGATTTTCAAGGCCCCACTTAGCTGCCCATTAATTTGGACTCGACTTTTTGCTGCTCTATACAATAGCCTTATCCAACATATAAATTTCTCTGGAAACCCCATTTTTTCTAGCGCCTCGAGTATGTAATCATGATCCACTCTGTCGTATGCTTTTTCTAAATCAAGGTTTGCTATAACGGTGTTTGTTTTCCTGTCTTGGATGTGGAACAGTATATCTCTGATCACTCTGGAAATCCTTTTACCTGGTACTGCACATACTTGATCTCCATGTATTATTTTCTGGAGGTTCTTCCTCATCCTCAAAGCCAATGTCTTGGCCATTAATTTATAGTCCATACTAAGAAGCATAATCGGTCTCCAGTTTTTCAAGAGTTCTTTCTTCCCTTTCTTGAAGAGTAGATGACAACACCACTAGTAAAATCATTCCCTGTGTTTCCTGTTTCCACTGCTTCCTCGAACACTTCCACTATATCCCTCCCTACGCATGCTCAAAGCTTCTTGTAAAATGCCATAGGCAGTCTGTCTACTCCTAGTGATTTCCCTCTTTTAAAATTTTTAAACACTCCTTCACTTCTTTGTAAAACCTTCTCATCACCTGCAACACCTCCTGCTTTTGCATCACCTTCTTCCTGCACTGCTTTAAGCTCTCCTTTTGTCACCTTCACTCTGGCTGAAAAGTATTGAGACCACTCTTCATTTTCTTGCACCCAGTGCGCTTGTGCCAGTGTGTCCAACCCTTCCTCTCCTCCTCCAGGTTTTGCTGTTCCTCACAGGGTCTGAGTATACTTGCAAAGGCTTTGGAGCACCTATGATACAAGTGTCTGTCTCCCTTACAAACAGTGCATTTCAAGGACTCCTGACATTCTACTGCTCTGTGCCCCATCCCTTTATATCTGTAGCACACTGTGAGGGGACAGTGTGCAGACAGGTGCCCCACTTTCCTGCATTTGCCGCACTGTTTTGGTCAACCATGGTACATGATGAAACCCTTGTGTGTCTTGATCTGGATCACTGATGGGAGATGCAGCATCCTACCTGGGCTCCACTCACCTGCTTGTAACTCTACTCACACCCTACATGACCCCATCCAGATAACATATTTGGCCCTTACTTTCTCTACCAACATGATTCTTTGGATGTACTTTTCCAGCCATCTTTCTGCCTCTAGTAAATCCATGTACATTCAAACCATAATCACTCTCTCTCTTGACTTTTCCCCTACCATGATCTTTATCCCTCTTAATTGCTCCCTCCCACATTTCTCTGCATATTTCTTCCAAAAGTTCTCATACCCTTCTCCATCCTAATAAGTCAATTCCCAAGTCTTCCAGTTCGAAAAAGCAATTAGACTGGTGAAATGCTCCACGTGCACCTCCAAAATTGCAAACAGCACCTTTTCCAGGAAATAATATCTGTTTATTGTCAATACCATCTACCTCCTGTCGCCAGCTAAAGTTGCCTTTATCCACAGCCTCCATTCCTCTCTAGTTTCCCTCAGTCTCTCTTCTGTGTTTTCTCACCATACCACTCCCAGTGGGCCAGCCTGCTATCATAATCCCACCGTCCTCTGTTTCTCACCGGCCATACCTACTCCTACTGCCCCCATTATGTTCTCCTCTGCACCTATCACCATTGTCATTGCCTCTCCCATTGCTCCCACCATCATATCCTTTTTTCTTGCTTGTCCGGTCTCCATATCTTCATTTCTGCTCTTTAACTCTTTTTCCACCTCATGCTTACTTGCCATCACTACCATTGTTTTGAGCTTCAGGTTTCTCTTCTCCGTGTCTTAAACCCCAATGCTCTGTTGATCCCTTTCTTAAGGCATAGATCAAGCTTTCAATGCTGACGGGAGCCTACCACAAGGTTAGGTTAATGCAGCCCACCTGAATAAACTGTAAGGTAGTGCACATTAAGTACAGTCCCCCTAACTGCTGATTCTTTGTCAAGTGATAGCAAGCCACAACATCGCATACTTTTGACTTCTTCTTTACTCCCACAGCTAAGCTGTATCTTTCTTTCCCATTCCTAATGATTCAAGCCTTAAATGCTTGGCAAACATCACAAAATGAGACGCCAAACAGTTCATCCAGAATCCCTCTGTGGACCCCTTTCTCAGCCAGGTGCATGTGATTAGTGTGGCTCTGCCCTCCATGAGGTGAAGCTGGAGCACATTGCCCTACAACTCATCTGCATAAAAAATGTTGTTGCATCCCAGGACTCATGACAAGAGCTAATTCCAGTCACGAGTGGGGGCTGACTAGCACATGTGGGGGATAAGGAGGGGGTATCTTGAGAACACACACATTACTGAGCAATGTTGAGCTGTGGAGTCACCATGGCTTGAAATACTATTGACGCTCGTGGGATTCAGCCCAATGAACTCTATGGTAAATCATGAGCCTTTGGCTTTGGATTAACACCATGCATAATTTGTACTACATAAGTATGTGCCCAAAAGTGTGTTTATGGAGTACCTGAACTAAATTAGCAGCAGCTTCATAAAAAGGTAACACACATCAGATCGGGATGAACTAAGTGCACAGGTACTACATACAAATTGCTAGTCATGTTTAATTTCCAGCTTATTATTTTCAAATTTACTCCTCACTTCCATTGGCTCAGGGAGAGCAGGGTCTGACAGTAAGGAGAGGGGGAATGGCCTGCCAGGGGGAAACAGAGAGCAAAAAAGCTATCTGACCCTTCAGATTTACTTTCCGTGCTGTAACAGTGGGAGGAGTACAAATTCAAGGCAAATCTCCAATAATTAGATTCTATACCTGGAAAATTATAACAAATTTATTAATTTTCCATATATGGAATCTAATTATGGGGGGAGGGTCATTTTATAATCAGAGTCATCTTCTATTTGAGTAAATATTGTACATGGGATTAAGTGCAGAATGCGGAATTATTTTATAAACTTGCAGTGCCTAACAAAATGTGTGTTATTATACCAAGATCTGAAAGAAGGGGTACTACAGTGTAAGTTTGCACTCACGATTGTGACAAGTACTGATTTCCCAGTTGTACGTGTGCTATTAGATATCCACATATGCAAAAACAAGGCTGTATCTAGCATTCTGCATGAAAACATATCTAAATAAGCATTTACGTAGCCACAGGATAGTCCATAAATCACAGCAATAAGTCACAGCCAAAATCTGTATCTGCTCACATACATATGGTGGCATGATCAAAGTAGGTGTGAAGTTATGTACACAAAAAAGCACTAAAGCTAGAAAAAAAAGACCATTTCCCTTTCAATTGCAGTTCCTCAACTGGTAAATCAGACATGATTTCTATTTAGTTCCCTAGGATGTTGTGAACTTAGGTCACTTAAGAATCTCCAGATCACACCAACAGTCTTATCTAATCAGGTATTTTATCTCAGATTGACTATGACTTTACCACATGATCCTGAAAAAGACATCCCACCCATAAAACATATAATTATGCAGAAGCATGTACCTGCAAGAAGTTTCCTCCAAAACTTCCTATACTAGGATAGTACAGATGCTTATATAAGCAACTGTGTTTAAACCTATTCATTTCTTGACTGCCACTACTTGTGACAAAAAAGTTCCACTGTAGTGAACTATGAAGTGCATACAAAAGTAGTTGTTTTCAAAATATTTGTCAAAACGTGAGTGTTTGTATATCACTTTGAGATCCTCAGATAAACAATGTTATGTACAATGCAAAGCAGCATGTTACATGACAGTTAGCAGAAAGTTTTAGGAATTACAAAGGAGTCTGTGCCAATGCAGGCATTGACTGCTATGCTTTGATTATCAATAAAAATATGTCATTTGATGCTAGATATATGTGAGAGATAAGAGATGCCTGCTCACTAACTAGAGTTAGACAACTAATTCTTTATGCATGGGTCAATACCTACCAATGTTCAGGTCATAACTGAAACAATCACTTGAGATTAAATGCTTTGTCCCATTACTAGTCTTCTAACTCCTGCAGTCCCCAAACTAAGTGTTTAACATCTTTGATTTTCTGAGTTACACAATAAAATCTTTTTTGTACAAACTTCTCAGAGCAAATCCAACTTCATTAACATGATATTAGTTCACATATAATACAGACAAAACATTCCAAAATAGCAAGAGAACTGTCAGCTTTCAGATTTTGTTTTGTCTTATGTCAATTTATACTGTGAAAACCTGAAGAGTAGTTCATAAATATGGATTTAGATAGCTTAAAAACAGAGAAGAGAGATAAGAAAAGACTCTTGGTACTTACTTTAATAACAGATGGCATCTTTGAATTAAGGTTATCATAAGTAAAATGCAAGCGAGTCTTGAAGGAACACTTGTAAAGCAGAGGGTCCTGGTAAAACTCAATTTTTCCACTAGCATTTCTCTTATCAAGACATACTGTGCAGTCAGAAAAATTAATCACCTTCCTCAGCACTAGATCAGTTGCTTTAAAAAGAAAAAAAAACAAAACAGTTGACTAGAAAATTTAACAATACTTGCTTCTTATTTTATATACACAGTATTCCATGAGACACCAGTAATGAACAATTTTAAATATATATTCAATAGAAAATTAATAACTTCCACTGTTGTTAGCATGATTATATTTTACTTAAACTACCGTATAAATAAAATAAAGAGCTTTGGTAGGAAAAATAATTTTCTATGCTACCTCCTGGCTATATATTTATTTTTAAATTTTTTGAAAAACTAAGTTTTTCTGTTTTTTAAGCTACAAAGACAAATTTCTAAATGATTTGTATCATTATTAGAATACATTTATTTCAGTAATTTGAAAAACAATGTCTCTACTAACTACAGAAAAATCAAGTACGTCTCTGGGAATAATGATAATTCAAGAAGAGAGGGGAAAAAATGAAGACCTGAGCTTCAAAATATATAAAGCCTTTAAAAAGCCACTTCAAAGACTTATTCAGTTTCACGCAGAATTGGAAAAAATAGTTAAAACCAACAGTTTGAAGGAAAAAAAATCAGGGGAGATAAAAATTAATAATTGAATATCCAAAATCATATCTCTGCATTACTGTAAACCATACATTTGCCATCTTTTCCCTATAGTTAAAGCTTGGCTAGAAATAACAGAGGTAGTACAACCCAAAGGCACAAAAAAAAAAAAAATCATACATGCACACACAAAATGATAAGAACAAGAACAAGTTAAGAACTTGTGTGGTCTTGGTCAAACTAGGGAAAAAGTACAGTATTGTACTTAATAAAAATATTTTTTTTTTTTTGAGGTGGAAAGCAGATCAGGTAGTCTTCTTTCTCCCCACTTAACCCTTTCATCAACTGACCTATGCCCCCAAGCAGCCAATCCAGCAGCTAGCTGCAGGGATCAGCTTTACCTCAATGAGAGCCTTCCTCTAAAAAGAGCTCTGTCATTGCTGACTGGTGCTACAGGGAAGCTCATGACCCGTAGACCACCCCTGAGATTCTGCCCCGCACTCCCACAAGCTCAGAAATTAGCACGCCTTAACCTGTTTTCCATATTGTGTTCAGCTCAGCTCAGCTCTTCGTAATATGCATATTATAAAGATTGTCTTTTTGACAGTTTAGAGCTCAAAAACATAAGACCACCACCGCAGGCTACAGTCATACGTAGTTCAAATTTCGCCACTCAGGCTGCACCTTAGAGTACTGTAGTTTATGTATAAGGATGAGGAGAGACAACTTATTTTATTTCCACTCAACACCTTCTGCTGTTGTTAACTCATCAAAAATGCACATTTTGGTCAGGTATGTTTTTATTCTGAAAGTTTCAAAGCAATACAACATGTTTTTATAATAAATATCAGCTTTGTAAGCATTTTATAAATGTTTTAATTTTTAAATGATTAACAAACAGGGGTGTCAAACTCCTCTGGCCCATAACCTAGGGCCAGTCCTCCACCACCATGCTAGATCCAGCACCCACAGTGCCCCACCCTGGGCAGTTGGGGATCGGGGTTGCATGTGGTATGTGTCCCCGAGTGGCAAAGATGGATGCTGTGTGTAGCATAGATCCCAGAGTGGCTGGAACAGGCACTGCATGTAGCATAGATTCTGGACTGGGTGCCGTGTTACAGGCAGTACCCCCACTGGCTGATCCAGGACTGTGCCACGTGGCACTTGCTCCAGCCAGTCTGAGACCTGGAAAACATGAGGCACCTGCAGGCACCAGTTATAACACTAGTCCAAGACTGGTTGGAGCAGCCACCATGTGTGGCATTCATCTCGAGGACGCTGGGACAGGCAATACATGCAGCACAGTTCCTGGAGAGGCTAGAATGGATGCTATGTGCAGTGCGCATCCCAGGTTGTGCCCACAGGGACCGTCCTGGGCCAATTCAGACCCAGGGGGATCACTGGGGGCCAGATAATGCTCTCTGTAGGCTGGATCCAGACCCCTGATTTAAAATATTTCAGCTGGAGATGAGGGATGGTCCAATGATTAAGACAGCAGCCTACTACTTGGGATGCCAAGATGCAATTTCCTGCTCTACCACATAGTTCTTGTATGACCCTGGAAAATCCTCACTTGTGCCTCAGTTTTTCATCTGTAAAATGGGGATAAGATTTCATAATCTTACAGCAACATGATAAGAATAAATATATTAAGTATTGTCTAATACAAAAATACCAAGGTTGGTTTGCATCTTCACCATAATAATAGCTTGTATTTACCCCTAAATACAAAAATGTAATGTGGTATTCATTATTTCACCTAAGTGAAATGCATGCAATAACTGTGTTTTTACTGTCCCATGAAGCACAATGCATCTTACTACGTCTCCATCCAACCTAGTAAGAATTTAACTATAAAATAAAATCACTAAAATCCCATCTGCAAGATAAAGATTATGGGGAAAAAAACAAGTTTCATAAAGGAACAATAAATACATAATAGGAAGCAAAATTACTTTTGACATCAGAAAGCTTCCCATAGATTTACTTTCACCTAAGATAAAGAGAGAACCATCCCCAAGATCCAAAAAAATACTCACCAGAGATATCCATAAATGCTCTATCCCAAAATTCATCCACTGTATAGCATTCTGCAGAAGTTATATTCACTGAGAGAACAATATCATCCTCCACATACTTTAATATGAGATTGTTGATCACAATGTTGACATTGTTTACAACACGCCTAATTAAACTCTGCACATAACCTTTCAGATGGAAACAAAAAGAATAAAACAACATTTGATGCAGTTCTCAAAAATTATGTAGAAGAGATGCAGCAATTATTTTGTTTCACATTTATTACATAAATAGGTAAAAACAGTTCTTTCCAAATTGCATATTATTTTCAAATTCTATTACTCTACTTTGTCAATGCACTGTTATCACTACTCTCTCGACAGCTAAAAGCATGACATGCAACTTTAAAAGTGCATTCTGTACTAGCTAACAGATCAGCTTCCAGCAAGTGTGACATAAAAAATATGAAAGCAACATTTTAGTCTATGCAGGTTTAATGCAATATTAGGAATTCAGTTGTACTGAAACCCAGAAGCAAAAATTAACCTTTGAATTATATTTTAAATAAAATGCAAAATTCTAAGTTTTTGTAGAATACAAAATATTATTACAACTTCATTTTATATGAATCCAGAAAAATGATCACATCCCAAGATATTCAGAAATAGGTATAGAAAAATTATTAGTATCAAGTTACTAGGATAATATTCAAATATGTACACCTTTATATACTGTAATTACTCAGATCTAAGATGAGGTTTTTTCCTCATTCAGAATTCATAGATTCATAGACATTAGGGCTAGAAGGGAGCTCGGAAGATCATCGAGTCCAGCCCCCTGCCCAAAGGGCAGGAAGTCAGCTGGGGTCATAGGATCCCAGCAAGATAAGTATCCAGTTTCATCTTAAAGGTGTTCAATGAAGGCGCTTGAACCACCTCCGGTGGCAGGCTGTTCCAGACCTTGGGGGCTCGGACAGTAAAGAAACTCTTCCTTATGTCCAGCCTGAAATGATCTTGAAGTAGTTTGTGACCATTCGACCTCGTCATCCCTTGGGGCGCTCTGGTGAACAAACGTTCCCCCAGATACTGGTGGTCACCCCTGATAAACTTGTAGGTGGCCAGCAGATCACCCCTGAGCCTGCACTTTTTCAGGCTAAAGAGCCCCAGGGCTCTCAGCCGGTCATCGTAGGGTCTGCTTCCCTGACCTCTGATCATGCGCGTGGCTCTTCTCTGGACTCTCTCAAGCTTCTCCACATCCTTTTTGAATTGTGGAGCCCAAAACTGGACACAGTACTCCAGCTGCGGCCTCACTAAGGCCGAGTACAAGGGGAGAATGACGTCCCGGGATTTGCTTGAGAAGCATCTATGGATGAAAGCCAGCGTTTTGGTCGCTTTACTAGCCGCCGCATCGCACTGC